TGAACCGGTGAACGGAATAAACTCGAAGCTTTCCTTATTCAAAGATGGCAATCTTGTTTTAACTGATGCTGACCAATATATTATTTGGTCAACGCAGACAAAGTCAACTTCTTCTTCCTTGTACCTGCAACTCCATGACACAGGTAACCTTGTCCTCCATGAACGAGAACAAACTATTTGGCAAAGCTTTGATTATCCAACAGATACCCTTCTTCCAAATCAACCGTTAACCAAAAACACACAGCTTGTTTCCTCAAGAAGCTCCACTAATTGCTCATCCGGTTTCTATAAGCTCTATTTCGACATTGATAGCATTCTTCGCCTTCATTACGAAGGTCCAGAATCAACCACTGTTTTCTGGCCGGATCCCGGTTTGCTACCATGGGAAGCCAGGAGAAACCAGTACATGTACAATCGATCTGCCACCCTTGATTCCGATGGTCGATTCAACTCATCAGACGGTTTCGGATTCTTATCGGCTGATTTCGGGGTCGGACCACAAAGAATGATGAGAATCGACTACGATGGTGATATGAGATTATACAGTCTCATTGAGCATCAAGGAAGAACGAAATGGGAAATTCAATGGCAAGCTGTTTCCCATTCTTGCAGGATTCATGGTATCTGTGGAGCAAATAGTCTCTGTATTTATTCTTCAGGAAGAAGAAGATGCACTTGCTTACATGGGTACAAAATGGTGAATTCTAAAGATTGGAGCTCCGGGTGTGAACCTGATTTTGAAGTTTGTAAACCAGACGATGAAGCTTTCGTGGAGCTTCGTCATGTAGAATTCTACGGATTTGATATGCGGTATCACAATAACTACACTCTTGATGCTTGCAAGAAAGATTGTTTACAAGATTGTAATTGCAAAGGGTTCCAGTTTGGATACAATGATGATCATGGTGTGGGAACTTATTATTGCTACATAAAGACTTCTCTGTATAATGGATACCAAATGGGGTTCTACAATTCGATGTATATCAAGTTACCTAAATCGTTGGTGTCATCTTTTGTTCCGAAAGCCATCGAGAAGTCAAGCCTCCGGTGCACCGGCGGGAAGGTGACGCAGATAATAAGATCGTACGAGAAGAAACAGGAAAGTAAGATACTTAAGTTCGTGCTTGTGTTGGGATGCGTGATTGGGTTTATCGAGATCATTGTCATCTTGTACTTCTGGTATAAGAGCAGTAAACGCTCAGTTACGACGTCGGAGCAAGTTTATTTTCCGGCAGCCACAGCGTTCAGGAAGTTCACCTACAGTGAGCTGAAAAAGGCTTCACGTAATTTCAGTGAAGAGATAGGTAGAGGTAGCGAAAGCGTCGTGTATAAAGGAAGATTACCGGATAACCGGATTGCAGCGATCAAGAAGCTCAAGAACACAAACCACCACAATGAAAGACGAATTTCAAGCGGAGATCGACACAATCGGGAGACTAAATCACATGAATCTGATCGAAACATGGGGTTATTGTGCTGAAGGAAAGCACAGGCTTATCGTTTACGAGTACATGGAGAACGGATCGTTGGCCGGAAACTTACTCACCGGAAAACTGGATTGGGAGACAAGATTCGAGATCGCGAAAGGAACAGCCAAAGGGTTAGCTTATTTACACGAAGAATGCTTGGAGTGGGTTCTTCATTGCGACGTGAAACCTCATAATATACTCTTGGATGCTAATTGCAATCCAAAGGTGGCGGATTTTGGTCTTTCGAAGCTATTGGATAGAGATCGAACTGACATATCGAACTTTCCAACAATCCGAGGAACTCGAGGCTACATGGCTCCAGAATGGGTGTTTAATCTTCCGATCACTTCGAAAGTTGATGTGTTTAGCTACGGGGTTGTGATACTGGAGATGATAACCGGCCGGAGTCCAGGACGGCGAAGCCATGAAAATGGCGACACAGACCTTTCGGTGACTGAGTGGGTGAGAGATAGGATTCAAGAGTTTGATGAAAGTGGAGGGGAATTATGGGTTGAGTTGATCGTAGATCCTTCGTTAGGTGGAAAATATGATCGGAACACCATGGAAAACCTGGTTAAAATTGCACTGCAATGCGCGGAGGAAGACATGGAGGCGCGACCCTCGATGAGTCACGTGGTTAATATGCTTCTACATCCAGAAAAATATTTTAACTAGCAAAGTGTCATCTATGACTTGTATTTTATGTGTAGTGTTGTTACTTCTAAACTTGTGCATTTATTTATTTATTTTTCCTCGTTCACTACTATATAAGCATTCAAATCAACTGGAACTTTGGAAAGAGATTAGTGATCTAGAAATGATTTTTTTTTTATGATTATCACAATGAAATCATTATGATATTAAGATAATGAGGGATTTATGATCAAGATTAATCAGAATGGTGAACAAAGAAAACCTAGCCAGAGTAATCATTAAGTGTAAAAACCAAGAATGTGAATTGAGAAATAAAACAAAACACTAAATCAGGTTCTGCTTTTTAGATTTTAAAGGAATGTAAATTAACTAACCAGACAAAAAATAATTGAACATGTCAACTCAACCAAAGCTCGACAAGAATTAGTTGGTGGAGTTGAAATTCAATCTCTTTACCCTCTAATTAAGTGGGTTAGGTTAGACTGTAAATTTCCTACATAATTTTAACTCGTTAACCCCTTTACAAATTATATTTATCAGTATTTTATATTTTTAAATATCAAATATATAATAATTATATTTTATTTATATTATATTATGTTTATGGATGCATTTTTTTTATTTGAACAATTATTAGAGTTTTTAAATTTTCTAAAAAATTTATTTGTACAATTATTGGAATATGTAACATTTAATTAGGTGTAGGTTTTTATTTATTTTGTTGAAATTTAAACTGGACATGTTGGGTTGTGAAAAAAATAAGCATATCAATCCACAACCAATTTAATAAATAGGATAAGTTCATATGAAAATTCTTAACTTGTTACTTAAAAATTGTTAAATTAAGTTTGAAATTTTCAATACCTTTAATTAAATGTGTCAACCGAAGCGACAACCAAACTTATTTTTTTTATCCATAACGTAAACCTTAAACTTAAATTTTGATCTAACCACACACTTGTCATGTTTTTTTTCCGATACAATCCATCTAAGAACATCCATAATGAATAGTTCAATAGAATTGTTGAATGTGACATGATTAATTGATATTTAATGAATTAAACGCTTTTATTGTGTAATGTTATGTTCACATTCAATAGATATGATGTTTAATGGTGAGTAAACTCTTCAATGAAAAAAAAAAACTTTTACTTATTAAAGATATATTACACTGAACATTATAAAGTTATGTGTAGAAAATTTAATAAAGAGTTATATAAAAAGTAAAATGATAATGTATCAATTCATTAAACTCTAACAAATTCAATGTATTATGAATATGCTAAATATAATAATGGATATGCATTGTAGTGTGGAATCACCGGTACAAAACTCATTTAATGGTACGATGGCTTTTTATTTTTTGATGCGGTTCAGTTACAAAACTGCATCATTAAATAAAATTCGTATTAACAAACCAAGGACCGTACCATTTAATGTATTTGTTCGTGAAGTTTTCATATAACCGCATTAAAAGAAATAATAAACGCATTTATTGATGCCATAGACCAAAAATGCATCATTAAAACACAATTTTTAGTACAAATTTTTGCAATAGTGTAATTAAATCAGAAAGGAATTGCACAAATTAAAGAAAGAAGCAACACCAATATTCCCTCTAAACATTTTCATTCTAATTCTGCATTCCCGCTACCAAGGAATTGGGTATTCCCTTTTAAAAAAAAATTAATTTTTCATTCTCGCTTACTCCGCCCTGCTAATATCTCTCCATCCCCCCCCCCCCCCCCCCCCCCCCCCCCCGTAAAACAAAAAAAAAAAAAAAAAAAAAAACTTTAAAAATTCAGTCTTCGTCCCCAAAAAAACCACACTGTAACACCTCGTTTTGAAAAGCACTTTGTGGTGGTCTCGGAGACCCAGGGTATGAGCGATTCGGTCTTTTAGGGTCCCATTATTTATTCGGAAGGTTTAAGGCTTGGGTGTGTGGTCATATTCGGAAGGTTTAAGGCTTGGGTGTGTGGTCAGGAGCGTAGAGCTTCTCACCACTTTTTCGTAGATATAAAGCTTGTAGGAAACAAACTTAGAATGAAGAAGTTATAACAATTTAAATCATTTGACATAAATGGTCCCTGATGGAAATGTTTGGCAAGCAAGTCCTATGCATGCAAGGGAAGCATGCACGTGTTCGGCTGGGTACGCCCAACGTAGTGGAGTAAATGATCGCAGGTATGGGGAGGAGTACGCCCAGCATACGAGAGGTACGCCCAACATACGAGAGGTACGCTCAACGTACCCTCAGAGACCTTAAACCCTATTTTTTAGAGTATGCCGCTATATAAAGAACATAACACCCAATAATCAACCTCCCTCTCATCTTCATATAGCCACCACGAAACCCTAACCCTCTTTTGAGTGTTCTTGGAGCTTTGGAGGTCATTAGAGAGCATTTTTGTGATTGTGAAGCCATTTCCAAGCAAGTGAAGAGTATAGCAAGGTAATGAATCAAAAGGGAAGCAGTAGATCCGAGTTTAGGGTTCCATTTCAGATCACTTGGAGGTATAAAGTTATAGACTTTATCTAAGAGTGCTTAGATCTAGTGTGGTTTAGTTTTGAAGTCATTTTGGTCCAAAAGTTGAAGCTTTTTAGTCCAAATCCAACTTCTAGGCTAAGGGTTGCCACCCTTAGTGCTAAATGAATCCCTAGGACAAAAAGTTTTCATCTTGGTGGTCTTAATCGGTTCATGCAAGAGTTAAGACCACTTTTATGAAAGTGGAATATCATTATTGGAGTTTGGACTTGTTTGCAGCATGCAAAGTCACCAAATCAGTGACTTTATGGATTAAGACGTTGGAAAGGACTTGGATCTGAGATTGTAGCTTCTAAATCTTAGTATTAAGCACTAAATGGGAAAATGATTAAACAGGTGAGTACGCTGAGCGTACAAGCAGGTACTCCCAGCGTACGCACCATTTGGCTAGTACATGATTGTTCTGTTTACTTATATGTTTTATGTTATGGTTATATCGGTATGATGTTGGTATCTTGGGGGTAACTCACTAAGCCTTCGAGCTTACAATTTCAACTTATTGTTTCAGGTTTAGCAGATAACTGCGAGAAGGTGAAGGCGTAAATGTACACTTCCTCAACTGATGATTATGATTTTTGGGAACTCTGATGTTTAAACTATTTTGAGAACAAATTGTAATAACTAAAAGGTTTTAAATGATTTAAAAAGTTTTAATTTGGCTCGAATTTTATGGATGTTACAAGTTGGTATCAGAGCCTTGGTTTGATGAATTGGAGGAACACTCGTGTGAATCCAGTCTCAAACTAAGGAAGATGTTTTCAAAAATATTTTAAATGGTTTTTAAAATAAGAAAGGAGGATGTGAAGTGTACGATCAGTCGGAGCCAGTAAGTAGACCCCAAAATACCATGCAGTTATTTGATTATCTGATATGTTAGAACAACATGCTAGTGATAAGATAGGCATCCTCAGGAACTATATGATAGAATTGTCGGATCTTTGATGCCTTTTCTTATGTAGAGTACCTCATTGATTGTTGTATGACTCTTTTATGTGTGAATTAACTATTGGGTGAATACTCCAAGTCAGATGCTACATGGGTTAAATGGTCGTAGGGTAAGGGATTTGGTCCTGTTGCACTGCTCTCGTATGAGTCCAACCATTGTGGGATTAAATCTTTTATCCTAAGATTGTTTAAGCCATGTGGTATGTTATTGTATTCATAAAATAGTTAATTGGCACCAATGGAGGGTCGTGTGGCAGTTGGTGGATGGGTGGGTTGTGCGAGTTCGATAGACCATTTATGAGATATTTAGCATTCCTTTAGGAGTGAGGATTGAGCGCTTGCTACGTTTATGTATATTGTTAGGGTGTTGTGATGATACTTGAGACAAATATGGGTAGGTGTGGAAGGTAGTATGGGCTCGTACTACTGAAAGCACAGGACCCATAGGCGTAGCAAGGAAGTCACAACCCCTAGGGTTGGGTAGGGAGTTGTTCCGTTGTCATTATATTGATTATCAGAGATCTTTTGGTGTCATACCATAATGGTGGTTACGAGACGTCTTGAGACCGGATCTGAGTTAGGATCAGAAGCTGGCAGCCAGGATATGCCAGTATTGTTAGAGGATCGTGTCAGTAAGATCATCCGAGAGGAGGTGATCAAGATTGTAAGGGGGGGGGGCAACGACCATAAATTCAAGCCAATTTAAACTTTTTAAAAACCTCCCAATTTCTTTAAGTTTTTACAAAAAGGTTTTAAATACATTTATTATCAGAGTATTCCCAGAACCACAACACAAAACATAAACATGAGGAGCGGTACGATCACGCCTTTGCCTTGCCACAGTCTCCTGAAGAACCTAAAAAACTTTAAACCACAACTGTAAGCCCGAAAGCTTAGTGAGATACCCCCAAAATACCAACCACATATACCATACACACATAATATGCTACATCATAACAAATCACAGAACAACCATGCATTTCGGGTTTACTGTGTGACTGGTCTGCCGTATCGGGACTTCAGTCCACCTGGTCCACCCTACGAGTCTAGTCATGTCCCTTGAGTCTGCAGTGTGGTTGGTCCGCCTACACCGGGCCTTCAACCCACCTGGTCCACTCACTGAGTCTACAATATGACTGGTCCGCCTGCATCGGGCCTTCAGTCGGCCTGGTCCACTCTCCGAGCCTCGGCACGTCTGGTCTGCCCTCGTGGAGCCTACAACCTATCCGGACCGCTCGGTGGGCCTTCGGAATAACCGGTCCTCCCTGGGTATGTTGGCCTACAGCACAAAGCATGACCCGCCTTAACCCAACCCCAGTCAAACAACCATGTGCACATAAACATACAATCATATAACAATTCACATCCAATCAAACTGATATAGCAGATCACGTATCATAACATACTCCAAACAGGATACCGACCTAACAGGTCACTAGCATATACCATCCTAATACCCGGATGCAAACATAGCAAGGCAACAACATAACAACGATACCCGGATTACAATCCGATAAAGGGCCGAACTTGG